TCTTTTAAAAAATCATTTATCAAGCGTGCTGCCTTGTTTTGGAATTTCTTGCCCAACACTGCGCAAAACCTCATATTTAACTTAATTTACTTTGCTATCTCCTGAACAATCAATCTGCCGAATACGTGTAAGAATAAAATATTCGTATTTTAGTGTAGTCAGCCTTATTTTACTGTTACTTCACGGTTATTATTACTTTCCCACCTATACTAGGCAAGGAAAGTATTGCGATCGGGTCAAATTTCCGATATGCGGTTTTCGACGGATCTATACGTTTCAGGGCTCCCTGAGTTAGAAAAATACATTTTTAGCCATTGGTCTGTCTGTCTGTGCCAAGATTTTCTCGGAAAATACTGAACGGATTTTGTTGATTTTTTCATTTTGTAGGGTTTTGACTACTGATGCCTGTGATAGAAATCGGGCGCTCGATTTTGATGAAACTTTCCTATAATGTTCTAATAATTGCCCTTTCAGTTTCCGTACATGGACTAAATTCTAAAAAAAAATCAGGAAAAAAAAGTTATAAAGAAAAGAAAAATGTTTTAGAGTCTAACTTGCTAAGTATATATTCTATGGTAAAACTTATAAGAAACTTTTGAAAGGTAATTAAATCACACTTCATTATGACCTCTACTTTTAACAGAAATTATTGTTTGACAAAATTAGGCTATGGCAAAAAGTTTTTTATCTTATTAAAATTTTCACACTAAATTAAGCCGGTTTACATTGCTTTAGTTTATCAAATAAATCGTACTCAAATCTTTTCTTTGATCAATTTTCAGGAAGATAAATGTAATTCATGTTTCTTGAAAACATAAAAACTTTTCTGAAATAGGCAAGAAAGCCGTGTTAGTAGACACACCAGATTTTTTAGATTGGTTATCAGTGCAAATACATAAACATAATATTATTTATTTATCTATAATTTTATTTGTTCATTTATTTTAATTTTAAGGTTACATAACTGAAAAATCCACGATTTTACTAGAAATAGAACTAAGCGTAGTTTAACCGCTTAAAAGTCTCCTTTAAAACATTTTAAAAACCACAAATTGTTCTTTCGTTGAATTTGAAGGAAATTTTGTTTAATTTACTATGAAGTAATTGTTAACTGTCTAAATTAAATACTTTTTACTTACCTCTTCCAATTCAATAAAAGATTTTTTTTTGCACTTGAGGTGAGCAATCACCTCTCTAAATATATTCCATCACATACAGGATATATATATTATCTCTGGGCACCCAGGACATGGAAGTATACTATCGTAAAATGAAGCATTTTTTACTCTGCAAAATACTCAAAGTGAAGTAATTCTGAGGAAATAGAAAGTACGCAAGGGTAGAGCCGACTAATTTTTATTCTGCTCAATCGCCAATATAGGTTGTGACTTAAGTAGATTAAGCACACCAGTGATAAATATAGCTCAGGAAATGTTTGTATTTTTTGGCAAATGCCGCCATAATTATTATAGTTATAACATCCTCCGTTGGACATTTAGTATCTCAAGGGTCTCCTGTTTCTATTTAACACTTTAAAATAGAAAAATTGTTCACTTATATAGGTATAATCTCCATTAAAAAAAAACTCATTATTGCACTAGTGATGGACATCCCGAAATTCAATTGCTCTAGTAATGGATAGGGGTTCGATACCAGTGATAGACCTACCTCAGAAAAATTCTAAAAGCTTTATTTAATTATAAAGATAACGATAAAGATAAGATAACATAAATGTTCAATTCTTAGCAAAACTGTTAGTAGGAAGGTAAGGAACACACTGATCTCAAGAACACTATAGAAACAACAATGATAAGCATTTTAAAATTGTCTTTTGGGAACTTTGTTCATACAATTTTTTTTTTTTTTTTTGGTTTTCCCCTACCTTGCCTCATTCGGCTATACGGGAGTTTTTCCGGGCCAGAGGTGAGGGTGGGGAAATTTAAATGATCCCCAGGCACTTTTTTACACATAACTACGGTTATATGGTTGCCGGGCAACTCCAGTGCTGTGAACACGCGTTAGCTCATTAGCCCACCCCGCCCCCCTCACATACTCGAAAACTGTATGTGAGGGGGGCGGGGTGGGCTAATGAGCTAACGCGTGTTCACAGCACAGTTTTCGATAGTGAGTATTGTTCTTTAATATATAGAAAACTATTATTGATTATTTATACTTAAAGTACAACCTGTCTATTACTTGGCTCCCTGTCCATAACTGGTCCATACTCAAAGTCTTACAGTACCTAACCCTTACAGTACTTATATTCTTATAGTACTTTACTGGCCAGTATTTTTTTATGATGACTATTTTTTTTTTTTAATGCCACTTTTAGTTTGATATGAAAAATTTTATTTCTAATAAACAAACATATGAAAAGTTCGATTTATAGATGTTTCACTGTAATACGATCGATGACCATAATATAACAGTTGTATTATATATAATATAACATATAGTATAACAGTTTATTTGACCATATAATATTTATGTTAAAAATAAGTATATTTATTTTAATTTTTGCCGACGTTTCGGTCCAAGTTCAGGCCTTCATCAGGGCTGGTCAAACTAAAGGATTCCGCAAGACGCACAAGAAGCTATTATACACAATTTTACAATTTGTTTTTTTTTTACTGATCCCCCCAACCATTCCTCTCTTTAATTATTCTCCACAGTCAACAATCAATCCACAATACTGACAAATTAAATTGAAAAATGATTTACTTATAAATAATGACTCAACAAATGTCTAGAAATTCTTATTTCCCGTTTATTATATTCATATAATATAATATAAAGGTAGATAGGGTAGGAGTTTTAGGGCGTAATGTCCTCGGGCAGTGGAAGGAATTTGTTACATGTATATATTGTATTATTATATACTATATATGTAAATTGTTTCAATAAACATTTTGGAGGGTAAGAAAAAAAAAAAAGTTTTAGGGCGCTAATTGATAGATTATTACGCCCTTAATTATTGTAGGATCTATTTTTATGATTTCGGAAACATGATATATTCTTTGATAATATTACTCTGTTTATCCGTAGTTTTATTTAATATTGTAGTTTTCTATAATAACAATAATAATAATCCAATGTACCCTAAATTGTTTATTTAAATTATTCTTAAACGACTTAAATGTCCCTGAATAAAATTTACTTCTCTTCTTCTTAAGATCAGTGAAATCCATATATTATTGGGAAAACTTTCCGCTGTTCGTTAATGTTATTCAGAGCTTTTCCTCTGCTGCTTAACCTTGATTAAAGGGATTTTCCATCATGTTCAAATGACCTCAACTAATTCTTGGTAGGGCAGTTGTAGTAGCTGAAGAACAAGTTATTCGTACAATAAGAACTCTAATTGCCTTCGTTCTTGAGGCTATTAGAGTAGGGAAGGGACGTTGTAAAACCCAAGATATGGGTAAACCCAACCAGGTACGACATGTCCTACCTGTGTTTCAGTTGACTACTGTCTTCGCTGTGTTGCACGTCTACCAGCCCATCAGGTACTGTTTACTTTTGGGATACTTTAGTTATATTATATATGAAGAGATGGTTTATATTGGTTATAAAAATATTTATTTATAGATAAATTTAAATATAATATATTTCTATTGCTTGGGCCCCTGTAGTTTCGTTCAGTTGCTAAGCAAATAGACTATTTTTAGTGAAATTATATTGCGATATTACTATCTAAATTTAATGTAATTTGACACGACCAGGTCCTGTATGAGGATTTTTTTTTTTATTTTATAGAATAATATAACACTCTGCCATAATACAGACATTGGTTATAGTAAGGAAAAAGTACATTCATCACGTCATTGAAATTTTTTAAATGTTTTTAACTATAAAAATTAATTGTATTTTCCAAATCAAATGGTTATGAATGATGTTTAGATTAAAGGTTTTCTTTACTTTTGAAACTCATTTTTTTTTTTTTTATGATTTAATTTTTATAATGTGTAGTTTATCCTTAACTGAGTATAAAAAAAAAAAATTGCTTAGTGATATTTAAGCATCAAATACACTGCATTTTTCTAATGGATTGCGGTTTAAACACTTTTTTTTTTAATTATTAGCTCTATACTTTTTTTATTTACAAAAATTCTCCGAAATGCTTTGTTTTTCAATTTGGAGAACGGTAAATTTTCTTAATTCAATGAAGTACTAAAAACTACTAAACAATCATTTGATTTCTAATTAAATTGTTGTGCAATATAAAGCCTAAGTATCGGTTTTCCCCCCAAACAAGCTCTTCGTTGAGACCTGCTTTCTTGGTAAGTCTTTCAGGTCAATGGCCCAAAGCGATATCTAAGGGCGGACCTAGTCAGTTGTCCGGAACCATTGTTCGTTCTGAAAGGTATCTGGGAATACTAAAGACGATGTAGAGAACACAGAATCCCATGCTAATCCATAAAAAAAAAATCAGTGGCAATGCCGCCTGCCCGAATCTATTGTTTGTGATTATGTTCTTCCTTTTACAAATATATATTGTAAACAAGTTTTAAAATATGTAGCATTTTTGTAATTTTGTAACGAGATACAGGCTAGGCGTTGCTAAATATTTTCAATATCGACTATTGATATGGCAACAACTGTTTCACACACTTTCGGTTCTAAATTAAGAAGAATCTTCCATCTGCTTTGTTTTTCTTGATAAATCAATACAAAAAAAGTAATATAACTGGTTGTTACTTCATTTAGTATCCTATAATTGTTAACTATTCATTTATTAATATTTATTTATGTGAGCCTTTCAGTTGACAGAATGATTAACTCCAATTTTTATAATTAATGTTAGTAATATTTCTAGTAGGATAATTTATACCTTTATTCACAATTCTATTTTTCAACACTGCCAACTGAAAGCTCATATAATCACATTCTCTATTACCGAATAGGAATAGAAGCATTATTTTGATAAAAATAGAAATAATAAATTTCAACCAATGTGGAAGAAAGTACATCCTATCATAGTAATATATTATTTTATATTACAGAAACCCGCTGCTATCCATTTCTGACGTTATCACTAATCCAGAGACTTCGAGCAGAACTTACATCAGTTCTAGCTTAGAGCGTCGAACGAACGGCCGAGAAAGCTCGGTTTCGAGCTTCTGATAAAGGTAAGATACCTACCCTTTTAAATATTATTATATTAAATCACACAGATATATATATATATATATATAGAGAGAGAGAGAGAGAGAGAGAGAGAGAGAGAAGTAATTTAAATCAATAAACATCCCAGGTATAAAATCATGTTGTTATTTAGCTGCCCGGGTGTTTTTCTAATATAAGTAGTAATAGAATTGGTGAAAAAAATCACTAAATAAAGGCAAAACAAAAAAGATTTTATTCTGAACACGTTGAACATCTTGGATAGGTCTAGTAAATCTAGCAAGAATTGGCGAAACGTTGACGGGCTATTTTATTCTTTATTAGTTCGAATTTTCTAATGATAAATTAACATCAAAGATATTACAATACATAAATAATGCAAAGAATGATTATTTACGCTATATATTTTTCGTAGATTTTCATCAATAAAATTTTATTATAAAATAGTTTTTCGTGGTTTTCAAAATTTTAATATCACTTTTTTTTTGGATAACCGATTCAATTTTAATTTTCTGATAGTTAGAGTAGTTATCATACTTAGTATTTTTTAACCCCTTTAATTTTTTTCTGTGTATGTGTGGTTAATAGATATTGTTCATGACTTGTTTTTTAATAATTAGTTACCCTATAATCAATTAATTTAAGTACTTAGGTTTATAATAAATATAAAACTGTTTTGTTAGTATACCATTTGTGATTTATGAATACATTGTATGAGGATAAAATATTTCTTTATTATTGATTGGCTGGTCTGTTTACGCTATATATATTTTTGTTGACTTTTATCTGTAAAATTTTATCGTAAAATATTTTTTTTATGTGGTCTTCGAAAATCCTTTTGTTTACCTTTTATTTTATTTTTTATATATCCTTTGACTATGAGGAAAGCTCGAATGATTTTAATTGATAAAAAAATAGCAACAAAAAACAGCTTGTTAGCAATGCCAATATTTATATGCTGAGAACTTTCTTAACGAAGGTAGCCGCGAGCTATGACTTCAAAGTTGATTTATCCATTTACTTCTACCTACCCAGTCCGTTTGGAAAGTACCTACGCCAGTCACAACTTGCTTTCTCTTTATCGAGTTCCTCAGAAATGAATTATTTTTATTTATAGAAGAAGTTATTTTCTCCGTGGGCGACTTGGGACCAACTCACATCCACACCCTCGCCTCGCACACAGCTGTCCCTCTTTTTAAGTTTGTTTTATGGTTCCTATCTTACGTGACTCGGTCTCCTCCTCTTGTTTCTTTTATAGTTCCCTCCTTGTCTCTCCCGGGAGGGGCTTTGTGCTTTTTGAAATATACATTTTTAATAGCAGCTGGTTTATCCAGTCCTTTATTAACATTATTTGATATAATTTATTAATCCGTCTTTAATTATTTTAATTTTCGACACTTTCACATCCAGCTAGAATCTCAGGGTAATGTTATTGTATTCGAAGTTTACCTTACTATATCGTTTATTCACTCTGTCACTAACGGATCCAGGATTTAATTTTGGGAAGAGGCCTCCAGCCAAAAATTTTTTTTTTATATACATGCAACAATAATTACTTTTGAAGAAAAAGAAAGAACCTATATGAAATGGTGTATTAGTGATTCTTGAAGTTTTATTACATCTAATTTCATAAGTAGTAATACTTTTAGAGATAATTTTTTTATATTTTTAGTTGGGAGGGGTTTCAGCCAGAAAGTTCCCCTCCCGTAGATCCACCTGTGCTCTATGCTCACTGTGTTTTAAGATTAATTTTTACATTTTATACATTTTAAGAATTTTATTAGTACCGTCGCTTCAACCCAAGCATGTGGGTCATCATCAGGGCGTGCTTCGAGCACTGAAGGTTTTCAAGAACTACAATTATTATTGGAGTAATTGATAGAGCTTCAGTGCTCGAAACACGCCCTGATGATGATCCACATGTTTAGGTTGAAACGTCGGCACTAATAAAAACCTTAAAAATGACTGCTTCCTGACTATTTATCACCCATGATATGTAGCACCGTCGACTAACTTCCTTCAATAATATTTGATAACATAACTTTAAATGAATCCATTAATTTTATTTTTATTACATCTATAATATATTTATTTACATACATATAGCTGACTATCTATACTCTGTGGTTTTACAAAAGTAGTTAGACAACACATACCGTTGCCCGTGAAAAAAAAAAGTCTTCTTTTAACGTGAATCTGATATGCTTAAAAGTTTGTCCCTTAGCTTCATTTAGAGTGGTTGGAAACTGTGTGATTCTTTAATTTGTAATCACTATATAACAGTTCACATAATTTGTTTAAGATTTATGGTCGATTCTTATTAGTCAGTGATGTCATATGTAAAGCTTTTCACTCCACTAACATATATTATCTATATTAATATTTATTTGTTAAATATCCCGAGATAACACTTTGTTGAGGAGTCCTGATGTAATATTATGCAAATTATTATCGGAGAATAAACCTTTAATTCACATTTCGTTTACACTCCCATTTACACTTTTTATATACACTTAATTTAAATGTTCGTTAATTAAATTTTGTATTTAAATTTCAGTTGCCTGGTTCTGACTAGTGAACTCTCCTTTCCCACAAAAACTTGCCCCTCCTCCACCCACCACTCCCTCTTCAAAATGTTAAATTAAATAAATATTTATTTTACTGACTCATATCAGACAGTTTATTGAAAGACAAGTAGATGATTGTATATGATAAAATGAAAAAAAAATATTATAGCTTAAAATATTCAAGTAGGCAAAATTTGAAAAACTGAAGTGCAAAACCTATTAGGTATACCGAGCTTATTCTGGTCTCAAATGACAGTAAATTTTATCTAGTTTAAAAATGTATTTTGTCCATAACCTGCTCCCTCATGGTCAAAATGGGGGGAAACCAAAAAAAGTGCGAATATTTCGCAGTTTTGTGGATATTCAAAAGTGATCCGGTGGGTCTGCGTATTCGAAAACATATATTTTGCATCTCAGTCAAATCCTATACAATAAAAAAAAAACTAAACCTTCTAAAACCATTTGATGCAACTTAGATTTCCACGACAAGGTTACTGCATTATTTTCTCATTAACGGCCTATCAATCGCTTCGTATTTTTATTATTTTCAAGTAATAATAATGAAGTTAAAGAAAAACATTTTAATGTATAAGCCAGTGTAAGTAAGTTCGATATCACTTCATATATAAAAACATCCTTACCGAACTATCCCATCAAACCTTTTATCTTCTTTATTTTTAAATAATAAAAAAAGGTTTGTTTCCTTTTGACAGAACTGGGTCGAATTATTCATGAGAGACAAGGTTTGGGTTGTAAACTTGGCCGGTAGATTGGACCAATCGAAAAGAAAATAGGGCAAAATCAAGGGAAATTTTATAAATATTAAAAAGGCACTGGTTTATTTTATATTATCAACTTGGTCCTTCTCTGTTCTCGTCTAAAATATTCTATTTCAGAGTCTGTACGAGTTATTATTCTAACAGAAATTTCTTTTATTTGGTATATACTCGTACGTACTTCCACAGTCACCAAACCAAAAAAATATTTTTGCCAAGTATTTTTAATAACAGATTTTCTTTCATATATGCCTTGGTTAATCTTGTATAAAACATACATTATATGGCTAGAATTTTATTTAAGGACTAGGAAAGTAATAACATGAACGCAGACTTAATTTCAATTTTAAAAAATTTGGTGTATAAATTCAAATTTAAAATCTGATGTACTCTATCTAATTTAAATTTAAACAATGGAAAAATAATTATAAAAAATATATATCTTTTTAAAATATCTATCAGATGATCTAATTTAATTTTAGTTTTTAAACCTTTCTCTTAATGTTGTGGCGATAACCTGGAATTTTTTCCAAAGCAGCACAAATATATTTTCAGATTCTTCAGTAATATTTAGTCTCCTAAAACAGTGCATGACTTAACCGTTTTAAACATAAAAAACTTTAAGAAACTCAAAGTTTCAACTTCTAAATCATCTATATTATAAAATTCTGTTCCAAAAAAGTTTTTCAATTCATATTTCATTATAAAAATGATTTTATAATTATGTAAGGATTTCTATAAATAGCCACGGAATAAAGAATAGAAGATTTTCGATTATAATAAATATATATAATATACATATATATGTATATAATGTAACCAATATCTTAATTAAAGTATAATCATTTGTATATTTAAATATTCAATGTGAATGTCCTAAGAGGTTGAAACACTTAAATAAATAAATTTGATATTGCAGTTTGAATATAAACGATATTGAAGTTTTAGGATGATATAAAAGCTGAAGATTATTTAATTTAAATTCTGTTACAATTAGTTAATAAGAGTTTTAATAATGAAGTAATAAAAAAAAAGATAATTACCCACAAAATAAAATTTTCGTAAATTCAATAAATAAAAATCGTAGAAAATGTTACTCTAAGTATGCCCTCGGGCAGTGGAAGGAATATATTACATGTATATATTATATTATTGTATACTATATATGTAATTGTTTCAATAAACATTTTGGAGGGGAAGAAAAATGTTACTCTATGAATGTAATTTCCTTTAGCTTCGGTGCATAAATTTTATACCTTTTAATATTTTTATATTTAATATTTTAATAATTACCATTGTTAAATTCATTAATATATATTTTACATATCTGAAACGGAAGTAATTGTATTTTTATAAGAATTAGAATTTTCGAGGTATACTTAAACTTTTTTTTTTGGCCTTTAATATTTTTTATTGGTAAGATAGAAAAAATTTATGCAGAAAAAAACAATAAATCTTTCTTTATGAATTGATTGTTATTATCATTGTAATCTAATTTTACCATAAACGATCAGTCATCGTCATTTGTTTAGAAATAAGATCACTGATATTTCCAAGTGAATTGTTTTATTGAAGATCATGATAAATTGTATGACATACTTATGATCGACTATAGTGCAATAATAATTGCATCATATTTTGTAAAAAACATAATACTTTTTA